CAACCCACCCCGCGGCCCACCCCGCGATCCACCCCCCTTGCGTTGACAAAAGTTCGGCGCCTGCGGCGGGCTCCTTGTGCAATGTGTAAAAAGTCGGCGCCTGCAGCGAGCACCAGCAGAGCAGAGCCTCACAGACTGCTGACGACCCCGCCGCCCCCCTCACTCTGATTCACAATGGCGGGGTACTACGCATATATGTCCATGTATATGTATAATACACATACACGTGTACATGTGCATATACACGTGGTTACGGTTCTGATTGTGTATACGAACATAAATGTACGCACATGGATATGTACATGTGTACGTCTACGTACATGTATGTACATATGTGTACGCATATGTTGCTTTACATGTATGTTTGAATATAACCGTGTATGTACATGTCTATGCATATGCACATGCATGTGCATCTGCACATGTAAATGTCAATGTGCATGTGCATATATGCATGTATGAATACGTGCGTATGTAATTAATTTGGTGCGTATACGTCTGGGAATGTGTACAGGTATATGTGAATGGATGTCTATGTGCGCGTATGTGCAAGTACATGTATATGTATATGTACATGCGGAGGCATATATATATATATATATATATGTAACGTGTGTGTAAATGTATATGGACATACAACGTGTATGTATCTACGTATATAAACGTAAGTGTACATGCAATGCATCTGTGCATGTGTGGATGCGAACGTGTATATGTGAATAGGTGAATGTATATATGTAGCGTTGTGTGCATGCGTCGCTGAACAGGGATATGTGTGTATAAGAACGTATGTGTCGTGTATATGCTTATGCACGTGCACATGTATATGTGTATATACATGTCTGAATATATATATATATATATATATATACATCTGCTTATGTGTCTGAATTTGCATATGTGTATGTATGTACATGTGTTTTTTGATTATGTATAGGTGTACTGATACGTATATATGTATGTGAATAGATGTGCAGATGTCAATCGAACATTGTATGTATATGCGTATGTATGCAAATACCATGAAGACAATAAACGGCAAGATGGTCTCCAACAGCTGGATGCTTTCCAGACGGTGTTCCACTCTCTGGGTGCGTTCCGGCAGCAGCTGCGCCTCGCCGAGGGCGCTCCCAGGGCGCCCGGGTCGTCCCGAACGGCCGCGGGAGGACCGAGCTGCGACCCGAAAATCAAATCCCATGTCGTTGTGGAAGACAAAAAAACGACGGGAGGGCACTGGCCGTTTTCGGCCTCGGGCGGCCGGCCCTCGCCGAGCCCCGGGCCTGTCGAGAAACGGCTCGCGGGCGGGGCGAAAGTCTGGTCCCAAGAGGCTCAGACCCTTTGGGGCTCCACGTGGGGGGGGAAAAACGCGGCGTTGGACATCTGGTGAGGTCGGAGGGAGGAGTGCGAGGCAGAGATCTGTTCGTACACTCCGCCGGAGGGATCGGTCTTCGGGGACGTCGGCAGGCGGCGGCTGTGGATGCAGAGGCCTCCTAGTTGGGGTCCGAGTAGATGGGGTCGGAGGATCTCGCCGCATCGCCGATACATCGGCGATGCATCGGCGTTGCATCGGCGATGCACTGGCGACGTCAGCGACGCATCGGCGACGTCGGCGTGGAGAAAATTGAGCCCCACATCGAGCCGCAACGCTGATGCATCGGCGATGCGGCACGATCCTCCGACCACATCTACTCCGAACCCGAACCCGTCCAGGAGGTCTAGAGCATGTAACTGCCCCCCCCCTCGGGGCCGAATGCCGATAACCCACCGCATGCCGAGACCCCCAGAGCTCGATCTCCCCCCGGCGATGGCTTCGGATAGGCCCCCGCTTCGGGAGGGAGCCTTTCTCGACGAGGCCGATGCGAACCGCCTCGACCTCGGCGAGGTCGAGGGGGCTCGCCTCGACCGCGAACCTCCGCGACCCCGTCGATTCGAACCGCCCCGATCTCGGCGAGACCTCGACCCCGACCGACGAGGTCGAGCCGAAGGAACCCCCCTGGAGCGCGCTTCTCTATTTTCGGCGATACTGCGCATTATAGGGGGGAGGAAAACGGGGGGCGATACAATGGAACGCCTCCCCCCGCCGTGTGCCCGACGCGCGCGGCAAAACAGAGACACGCTCCTGCGGTGGACATCGGAGGCCCTCGGGACGACAGAGGTCGACGCCGCTCGACGAGATCGACGGCACCTCGGGCCCCCCACCCCCGGCCCGCTGCCAGGGCCTCTCACTGCCGGCCGACAGCCCGAGGCAGGCCTGGCCCTGGGGGGACGAGGGGACTCCCACTGATACGTTTCCGAAAAGGACGCCAGCGAAAGGGACTTCTGAGACCGCGGCGTTGGCTTTGAGACTTCGACGAGTGCGAGTGAAAAGTCGCAATGCTGCAGCCTTGTGGGCGAAGCCGAGCGGACTTGAGAAATCGGCATCGCCCGTCTCAAAAATCCCTTTCCCTGGGGTCCCTTTTGGAACCACATGACCCACGGCTGCCGGACGACGGAGGACAGGAAGTCGCAGAGCCGCAGTGCTTTAGTGTCCCGCGGCCAGTGACTGTCGACCGACAGCCCGAGGCAGGCCTGGCCTTGGGGAACGAGAACTCCCCCGGGCTGCCGAACGACGGAGAGAAGGTAAGAGCCGCAGTGCCCTAGTGCCCCGCGGCCAGTCACTGTCGACCGACAGTCTGAAGCAGAATTCGGTCCCCCAGGCACCGACGAAAAGCAGGAAGTCTCAATTCCGCAGTGGCCCGCGGCTAGACACTGTCGACCGACAGCCTGAGACAAGCATAGCCGTAAGTCGGGCTTGTCCTTCTCTGCAGGGGGAATCTTCAAAAATAGTCAAAAATATGGGAACGATTTGTTTTACAAGTTTTGAATTTGTGTTGTGCATCTTTGTGGCATGTTTTATTTTTCGTCCCAAATCCGCCTGTTGGGGGACATGCCCGACCTAAGCATAGCCCAGGGAGACGAGGAGACTCCCCCGGCTGCCGAACGACGGAGGACAGGAGGTCGACGTGCCGCAGCGGGTGCGGAAGCGAAGAGGGCATGGAACCCCACCCCCTCCGCCCTCCATCCGCCAGCACGCCTCCCTGCAGCCCTCCCTGGGGGGCGTCCTCGGGCGCGCGGCGAGCTTCCGAGGGGTCCGTCTCGAGGCGGGCGTTTGGGACGGTCCAGCCGTCCGGGACGATCACCTCCTTTGTCTTCCTGGCGGGAGCGCGCACGCGCACGCACGCGCGCGCACGCTCGCACGCACGCCCTGGCGCTGCTCGCGTCCGGCCCTGCTCGGCCCGACGCCCTGCCCCTCTGCTGCCACGACCTGCCGTGCTCTTCCAGGTCTGCCACCATCGCCTCTTCGGCGCAGCCCCCTCTTGTACATACGCGCTACTCCGGCGAGAGCACGACCAGACATGGCCGCAAGGCTTGTTTGATTTTTGGTTCGTTTATGCTTGTTTTGTTGATCTATAATTCCCCAATCAGTGCTTGCACTGAAGGGGTCCTCGCGGATGTTGAAGGACTTGGCGAAAGTGTCCCGCCGATTTTGGTTGCTGGCTGGGTTCCAGGGTTCCTGGTTCTGGGTTCCCGGGTTCCCGGCTCCGGGTTCCGGGCCGATTTCGGAGGGCGGCGAGGTTCCCTGGTTCCCGGGTTCCCGGTCGACCTTCTTATCGATCGGTCTCACCATCGATATCATTACCCACATCTCTATGGATCTCACCATCGATCTCAAAATCGATCCAACTATCAATCTCACAAGCGATCTCACTAGAGATCACATGAGCGACCTCGCGATCGATCTCACGATCGATCTCATTGAATCGATTTCACTCTCGGTCTCACGATCGACTTTACAAACGTCCTCACGATCGATTACACTATCGATCTCATTATCGATCTCACAATCGATCTCAAGATCCATAGTATTACTTTTCAAATCATGCGCTGTTTGGGATTTTCTCCGGTGCAATATCTATACAACTATAACACAAAATGTCTGCCTTCTCCACGGCCCGCTAGGTGGAGGCCTGCGTGCGGCGTAGTAGCATTATATATATACACGTATATTTATATAAATACATTTATACATACATATACATATATATATATATATATGACACCAAAAACTGTCTGCCCTTCTCAACGGCCCGCTAGGTGGAGGCCTGCGCGAGGCAATCCGAATACCATGGCGGAAGACCACACAGGGGGACCGCACGGTGGACCCCTGCGAGAGACCCCCACGGGAGGCCCTACGGGAAAGGCCCTGACGGGAGGCCCAAATAACGGGAAGCCCTAACAGGAGGCCGCACGGGAGACCACACGGGACACGGCACGGGAGACCCGAAGGGAACACCACACGGGAGCCCAAGCAGAAACCCATGCGGGAGACCAAGCGGGAGACCAAGCGGGAGACCACGAGGCAGACCGCACGGGAGACCCATCGCGAGGCCAGACGGGAAACCACACGGGAGACCCTGCGGGGGACCCTGCAGTGGGCCCCACGGGGAGCCTCCAGCCAATTGCGTGGGGGGGCAGCTGCCAGGCTATTGCCTGGCGAGCGACTGCCTGGACAACGAGATAACCCAGACATTGTTTGATTCGCGGATCGAGAGCGCACCTCTTCCGGTCGAAGCTAAGCGGGCCGCGCGAAGCTTGAATTAAGCAGAGATGGGGGAGGAAAACAGGGGCGCAGAGATAACCCAGACATGTGATGTCCTGATGTGCTCCACACGGGGCCCCAGGCAAAGTTCAGGGGAGAGGGATGCAGGCTCACGGACCGAAGAACAAGACCTCGGAGGCCGTGCGGCCAGCTCCGGCGCCCCCTGCTCCCGGGAGGAGCCTGCCCGGTCAACAGGCTGTGGAAGCGCCAAGCCCGTGCGACCAAGAAGCAGTGACCCAGGACGTCCCGACCCATCCCAGGGGCCCCGTTTCCCCCATGCTGACAAGGGGCTCCTTGCTTCATCACCGGAGCGCCCCCCGCCTCCTCACTCGCTCACCCGCTGCCGCCCCCCTCTCCCTCACCCCCATTCAGAGCCGCTCATGCCAAGCCAAGTCATACTGAGACTCACACACACATACCATCCACCGTATGATCATGCACACTCATCTTTTGATCACCGCAGCATGGCAGGCGTGGCTTTTGGGCACCCCAAGGTGGAGCCGCCAGGAGGTGGACACTCGCCCCTTCGCGCCCAGAGTGTGGGAATGTCTCGAGCGGCTTGCTCGTTGTTGCCCTCCACGCTCCTCGGAGGAGCAGGAGCAGGAGGAGGAGGAGGAGGAGGAGGAGGAGGATGAGGAGGAGGAGGACGAGGACGAGGACGACGACGACCCCAAGGGGGAGCCACCAGGCGGCGTTGCACTCGCAGGTTCGCGGCCAGATCGTGGGGGGATGTCTCAAAACGAGGTGCTCGTTTCATAGGTGGGTCTCCTCTACAGTAGGGGCCCGACCACAAGAAACCTTCCACAAGAAACCCAACCCTGAGACCCCAGGACGTCCATGGATTTGTGGTGTGGGACCGCCACGATTTCCATCGCAAAACCATCGAAACCCAAGAAGCCCACGGCACCCTGGAGGCCAGCAGCGTGTTTCTCGGCATGGGCCCCCACTCTAGTTCCCGCGCAGCTCCGGCAAATGTCTTGAGCGACCGCTCGACCGGTCGCGGCCCGACGGTGGGGGTGTCTTCAGCGGGCTACTCGCCTCGTGCCTGGGCCTGCTCTGCTTTCGGAGCAGATCGGGAGTCCACCTCGAGCGAGGCCCTCGTTGCAGCACCCCCCAAAGGAGAGCCGCCAGGAGGAGGAGGAGGAGGAGGGGGGGGAGGAGGAGGAGGAGGAGGAGGAGGAGGAGGAGGAGGAGGAGGAGGAGGAGGAGGAGGAGGAGGAGGAGGAGGAGGAGGAGGAGGAGGAGGAGGAGGAGCTCGCCCGTCCGCGGCCGGAGTGTGAAGGATGTCTCGCGCGAGGTGCTCGCTTCGTGGCTGGGGCGAGAGTCTGCTCTCGCAGCAGGTCGATGGGATGCTTCGAGCGAGGCGCTTTTGCTTCAGCACCCAAATGGAGAGCACCCATCGGGTGTTGCGCGGACCCGCTCGCGGCGAGAACGTGGGGATGCTCGAGCGAGGCGCCCGCTTCGTGTCTGGGACTCCTCTGCTTGCAGAGCGGATCGTGAGGATGTCTCGAGCGAGTCAGGCGAAACTCTGGTTTAGGCACGCTCGACCACTCTCCTTTCAGAGCTCCAGGAGCATCCCGACGTTGCAGGCATCGCACTTGGGCACTCCAAGGGGGAATCGCCAGGGATCGCCCAAACTCCACTGGCTAAGATTCTCTCACTCAGACACTGAACTGCAGGAACTGAGATGCACATAATTATGGGGATCCCCGCGTCAAATACTTCGTCCCGAATCTTCCCGAGCAGTCTGTTCACGGTCCCGGGGCCCTGCGCGGGCCCACGCAGGCCGAAATCGGCCCACATCCTCCTGCTTCGCCTCCTCCTCCTCCTCCTCCCCCTCCTCCTCCTCCTCATCATCATCACCACCATCACCACCACAACCACCACCATCAGCATCATCATCGTCGTCATCAACAGCATCATCATCATAATCCTAATCAGCACACTCATCATAATCACCATCGTCATCAACAACAACAATATCATCAGCATCGTCTCCATCGTCATCGTCATCATAATAATTATAATAATAATTATAAAAATAATGATGATAATAATAATAATAATAATACTCATCATCATCATCATCATCATCATCATCATCATCAGCATCATCATCATCATCATCATCATCATCATCATCATCATCATCATCAGCACCAGCATCAGCATCGTCATCATCATCATCAGCAGCAGCATCGTCATCATCGCCATCGTCATCGCCATCCGCATCGTCATCATCGTCATGATCAACATCATCATCGCTGCATCAGCATAATCATCTTCATCACCATGAGCATCATCACCATCATCATCAACATCATCAGTACTGTCATCATTATCATCATCATTATCATCATTATTAGCATCACCATCAGCACTATCAACATCATCATCATCACCATCATCATCATCATCATCATCATCATCATCATCATCATCATCATCATCATCTTATTCATCATCATCATCATCATCATCATCATCATCATCATCATCATCATCATCATCATCATCATCATCGGCATCGTCATCATCATCCTCATCCTCATTAGCATCCTCATCCTCCTCATCATCATCATCATCAGCAGCATCAGCATCATCATCCTCATCCTCATCCTCATCCTCATCCTCATCCTCCCTCCTCGATCCCCAATGACCTCCCGGGACTCTCGCCACGACACGAGCATATGCCTGTGGGCTCGCAGCGGCTGCACCCCGACCGGCCGGCTGCCCGAGCTGCAGGCCCCGACACCGGGAACAAGACAGGCACCGGGGGGCAGCGCGCGCGCTCCTGTCGACGGGAAGGACCGCGAAGAACTTCGCGGTGGGGGCGTACATGTCCACAAAGGGGAAGAGCCTCCCCCTGCTGCCCAGAGATCCGAGGCCCAGACGAGGCGGACAATTCGAGGATCGCACGGCACATGTCCACAGAAGGAGACAAACCCCCCCTCTCCCAGTACATGCCCACCGAAAGGGAAAAACCTCTCCCGCTGCCCAGACGAGACCGCGAAGAACTTCGCGGCGGGGGCGCACACGTCCACAAAAGGGCAAAGCCTCCCCCTGCTGCCCAGAGATCCGAGGCCCAGACGAAAAACAGAGCGGCCAATGTTTGACCGTCTTGTGGCAGCGCGCACAGGGGGGTAGGGGGAGGGGGGAGGGTTTCCTAGAAGGAGGCTGCTTCTTTTGTGCAGGGACCGACCGTCCCGGCATTCCTATAATATACCACAGCAGCGTTCTTAGAACCCAAAAATTCTAATAACAAAAACAATGTTCTTAGAACATGAACCCGAAGCGTTAAAACAAGACTGTCCCAGCCAGACATGTTCTAAGAACATTTCGTGGGAACCACAAAGAGGCTCTTAGAACGTTGTTTGGTGGGGCTATAGGCGAGCATGGACGCTTCGCCACTGCTTGATTCTTAGAAGGCGCTGGCCTTGCATCTGTAGACAAGGCCCAGGGCAGTTGTCCAGACCTCTGCGGCCCATCTGCGCGTGGCCGAGCTTTCGGCTTCCTGGGGCCCCTGGACCGTCAACAAAACGGCTCATCGGGAGCGGCCAAGAGGGGGGTGTCCAAGAGGGGGGGGTGCAAATCATGACCGGCGGCATGTGCGCGGCCCAGCGGGGGGGCCAGGGACGTAATGAAATAAGAAGAGGCGCCATGAAATCTGGGGAAATATCATGGCCCACGCCATGATGTCCACCCCCCCTAGTCTTCACCCCCCTCTTTGCCGCCCCCGAAGAAGCCGGCCCCAGGGAAGCTGTCCAGACCTCCCGGGGCCCACTCACTGAAAAAAAATGGGGGTGCTGGATGTCTGGCTCCACGCCTGGAAGCTCCGCCCGGGGAGGGGCTCGAAGCGGACACCGTCTGGCTGGCCAACCATCAGGAAGGAAAATTACCCTGTGACGTACCCAACCCATTTGTATCATGGGAAACGAGGAGTTGACCGAAACTTGCATGGACAATCAAATTGCAGGATCCGTTGTTTGATATGTAAGCTACTTGGGACACGCGCCTATGGCATGATGCGCAGGAGAACCATACAAGAAAGAAGGGCAACAGCTACAGGCTCGAAGAGGACATGGGGAGACGGGAGCGAAGAGCAGGAGAAAGACGTGCGGGAAGCCCACTGTGCTGGGCCCCTCAGCAGCCCTCGAAAGTGGCGACAGTTTCACAGATCGCAGCCCCCCAGGGATGGCGAGGTCCCATTTGAGTCTGCGGTGAGTACCCACTGTGCTGGGCCCCTCAGCAGCTCTCGAAAGCGGCGACAGTTTCACAGATCGCAGCCCCCAGGGATGGCGAGGTCCCATTTGAGTCTGCGGTGAGTACCCACTGTGTTGGGCCCCTCAGCAGCCCTCGAAAGTGGCGACAGTTTCACAGATCGCAGCCCCCCAGGGATGGCGAGGTCCATTTGAATCTGCGGTGAGTACCCACTGTGCTGGGCCCCTCAGCAGCCCTCGAAAGTGGCGACAGTTTCACAGATCGCAGCCCCCAGCAGCCTTTGAATCCGCCGTGAGTACCCACTGTGCTGGCCCCCCCAGCAAGCCTCGAAAGTGGCTGCAGTTTCACAGATCGCAGCCCCCCAGGGATGGTGAGGTCTAATTTGAATCAACCGTGAGTACCCACTGTGCTGGGCCCCCCAGCAGCCCTCGAAAGTGGCGACAGTTTCACAGATCGCAGCTCCCCAGGGATGGCGAGGTCCCATTTGAATCCGCCATGGGTACCCACTGTGCTGGGCCCCCCAGCAGCCCTCGAAAGTGGCGACAGTTTCACAGATCGCAGCCCCCCAGGGATGGCGAGGTCCCATTTGAATCCGCCGTGGGTACCCACTGTGCTGGGCCCCCCAGCAGCCTCGAAAGTGGCGACAGTTTCACAGATCGCAGCCCCCCAGGGATGGCGAGGTCTATTTGAATCCGCCGTGAGTACCCACTGTGCTGGGCCCCCCAGCAGCCCTCGAAAGTGGCGACACTTTCACAGATCGCAGCCCCCCAGGGATGGCGAGGTCCTATTTGAATCCGCCGTGAGTACCCACTGTGCTGGGCCCCCCAGCAGCCCTCGAAAGTGGCGACAGTTTCACAGATCGCAGCCCCCCAGGGATGGCGAGGTCCCATTGAATCCGCCGTGGGTGCCCACTGTGCTGGGCCCCCCAGCAGGCCTCGAAAGTGGCGACAGTTTCACAGATCGCAGCCCCCCAGGGATGGCGAGGTCCCATTTGAATCCGCCGTGGGTGCCCACTGTGCTGGGCCCCCCAGAAGCCCTCGAAAGTGGCGACAGTTTCACAGATCGTAGCCCCCCAGCGCCTGCGAGGTCTAATCTGAATCCCCGTAGGGCGTCACTCCGCTGGGCCCCCCAGCAGCCCTCGAAAGTGGCGACAGTTTCACAGATCGCAGCCCCCCAGGGATGGCGAGGTCTAATCTGAATCCCCGTAGAGCGTCACTCCGCTGGGCCCCCAGCAGCCCTCGAAAGTGGCGACAGTTCACAGATCGCAGCCCCCCAGGGATGGCGAGGTCTAATCTGAGTCCCCGTAGGGCGTCACTCCGCTGGCCCCCCCAGCAGCCCTCGAAAGTGGCGACAGTTTCACAGATCGCAGCCCCCCAGGAATGGCGAGGTCTAATCTGAATCCCCGTAAGGCGTCACTCCGCTGGGCCCCCCAGCAGCCCTCGAAAGTGGCGACAGTTTCACAGATCGCAGCCCCCCAGGAATGGCGAGGTCTAATCTGACTCCCCGTAAGGCGTCACTCCGCTGGGCCCCCCAGCAGGCCTCGAAAGTGGCGACAGTTTCACAGATCGCAGCCCCCCAGGGATGGCGAGGTCTAATCTGAATCCCCGTAGGACGTCACTCCGCTGGGCCCCCCAGCAGCCTCGAAAGTGGCGACAGTTTCACAGATCGCAGCCCCCCAGGGATGGCGAGGTCTAATCTGAATCCCCGTAGGACGTCACTCCGCTGGGCCCCCCAGCAGCCCTCGAAAGTGACGACAGTTTCACAGATCGCAGCCACCCAGGGATGGCGACCGCAGGCGGGAGGAGGCGGGAAGGAAGGAAGGAAGGAAGGAAGGAAGGAAGGAAGGAAGGTGGAGACCGCAGTGCTCTATTCAAAACGAGTACCCAACACAGGAGGGTTGGGAAAAAAGACAGACACAATGAATCGCCGACTCTCAGGAAAATATGCAATAATATGGGAAGTGGGGGGGAAGACAAAAAACCAGAAAATATGAAAAATATGTGGGATCTTGTTATTTGTGTGTATTTATGTGTGTGTGTGTGTGTGTCCTGGGTGGGGCCCCTTCAAACCATGAGCTCCTGGCGCCGCATTCGTTTTTCCTCCCTCGGGCGCCGGGACCATCGCAGGTCGATCCTGCTCGAGAACTGGCGCAGGAAGACTGGGTCTAGGGCTCTGGTCGCGGTTGTTTACCAGCCTCGAATGTATCCCTATCCCTAAGATTGACACGCCAAGAGGCGATGACCATCTTAGGGAGTCGCCCTCAAAAAATAAGAGAATCCCTAAGATTGGCATCGTGGTGAGGAGGTGCCCAGCATAGGGATAGGGATATGTTCCAGGCTGGTAAGTTGTCTGTGATGTTGCCCCTTCTGGCGACGTCGGAGCTCAGGAAACGGGCCCGGTGTAGATGCGGCAGCTTCCAAACATGTGGGACGCCGGGGCGTCTGCTTGTTGGGGCGGCGGCGCCCCGGATCCGAGGTCTGGGCGAGCTGCGCTGGCGAAGTGCGGCGCGCGGGGAGCACCCTCAGGACGCGAAGCACTGCGGGTGGTGTCTCAGAGGCAGGCTCCAGTACTCGTCCACAGTCAGTGCGAGGGTACAGTCGGGGCGCTGACCTAAGGAACCCTAAATAAGGAACGGGGCCCCTTTCTCCCATGAGTTGAACTTCGATTTCCCATGGAAAACCTCAGGAAGACAGAAGACAAACTGTCGAACAATCAAGGAACACCGAGCCCCTCCCCAACGAAAAGGGTTCCTTCTTCAGGGCCCCGACTGTACTCGTCCACAGTCAGTGCGAGGGTAGGTCGAAGACGGTGAAGCCAGGGTGAGGGCGAAGCGTCAGGCGGAGCACAATGCAGAGTTCAAGCTGGGGCGCCTTCACACCAAGACTCCTTCGCCGAACGCACTGGCTCCGTGGCCGACCAGGCAACGCGGTGCAAACACCGAGCCCCGTCTGAAACTCCACACCGAAGAGCAGTCGCGTCAAGGAACGCAGCGCGCTGTGACCAGAGCCTGCAGGCACTGCTTAGCAGATTCGACTCGGGAAACAGAGACAGCCGCGAAGAGCAATGACGCCACAGGTGCGCATGTCATGGCACTCGTAGGCGGTTCTTGAGAAAGAAGAATGGCATGAACATGACTGTCCGAGCTCTGCGCGGATTCCTTGGATCTGCGATGGGACCCCCTCCATGCCGCGCGGAGGGCGCCAGGGGCAGCGCTGGAGGCGCCGCCAGGGGAGCCCAACGCAGGCCCAAGAGATCTACGCGGAGCTCCGAAGGGTCATGCTTGCGCAGCTCTGCAGCACAACGTGCTGTAGCACACCGTGCGCCTCTGTCTTAGCAGGCCAAGCCCGAGCAGGATCGAGAGACGGAGTTGGAGAACGAAGGGGGCGATGAGGACAGGAGCGGTCGAGGAGGACAGGGAAGGCGAAGACGAACAGGCAAGGCTCGACCTAACAGTGGTTTCCGGTTTCATGCTCCTCTGTCTTCCCTAACGTTGTCTTCGCTCCGCCTTTGCTGCAAAACGAAACCGAAACGAAAACGGTCCGCAAAATCGCCAAGACATAATTTGAGGTCGAGCCCTGCGAGCAAGAGCAAAACAAAGACCAAAACATGACACTACCGCAACATGCGGCCCGCCACCCCC